AACAGGATGGACCTTATAAAGAAAAACGGAGAAGAAAAAAAGGCCTTATAAAATGTTCACTGGTTTAGCTACTGAGGGCCCATCTGGACTTTGTTGAATTCCAGGTACATCCAAGGGCGTCTGGTGTTTTCAGAACGTGGCATTCCTAGGGCCAAATAAGTAGGGTCATTTTCGTTCAAAAAATATACAATCTTTGTTTTAACGAAATGGCTTTTGTATGCCTTCCTGGCTACGGTCTTCACCCAAATACAACGCCTGGTCATTTATGGCTGTATCCCGACTGAAAGTCGACCTAAATGCAGCTGTAATGACAGGCCGTTATATTGGCGTGAAGACAGTAGTGACTGACAGCTACGTATGCCATTTTGTGAATAACATTGAAAAAATACATCATGCTTTGCCTGCAGAGTTGAGCTGGAGTCTCTCATCCCCCTCAAGATGTTACAAAATGAATACTAAAAATCATGAATCCGTCCTATAATCCATAGAATAATGTTCGAAGCTATATTCACCAAGGGAGTATGCAAGTGACCGTGCATATTATGTAAATGTGCATATTATGTAAATGTGCATATTATGTAAATGTGCATATTATGTAAATGCCCGCCATTGTCTCTGCGCAGAGGTGCAGAGTTTTGGACCCACAACTTGAGACCCCAATGCGAATTCAATTTGACAACGGGTGCCCTAACCACCCTGCCACACCCCTAGTTTCCCATAAAATAGGGGTAGCTTCAGTACAGTCACCAAAACAGTTTGAAATTACACTGCGGGGGCATTCGTCCCAACACAGCAACCCCCCCCACCCCCCCTCCCCTCAATTGTGAGGATGTGAGGTGCTGGAGTCATGGGCTGACGTGGCATTGCAGCATACAGAAAGCTTTACTTGGCCCCCCTTTCCTGAAGGGGAAAGTGCAAACAAAAACAAGCACGCCCAAAATGGAAAGGGAAAAGCACACGAACAGCCCCCTGTGAGGTTTGGACGTGCGAGAAACTAGACTGGTGAGACTGCACCGGGACATGCGGACGCCCAGGTGCACGGCATGCACCTGAGTGTGTAGTTGCCAAAGTTTTGTCTGCACCTGCATCAGGATGGATTTTTTTTTTTATTATTATTTTTTTTTTTAAGCACAGGTTGTTGTAGAGGTGGGATACTAAACGGATGGCAGTCACCCACAGTACTCGGCCACTCGGTTGTCCAGATGAAGTCGATGAACCTCTCTGAAGACCCCACCCACCATTCCTCTTATCTTTTTGTTCTTTTGATGTTAACTTTATGCAAACGGGCTAAGTGTTAGTAAATGTAGAGCCGGCCTTTTTTGTTTGGTCATCCGCCCAAGAAAAAGCTCCTCCCTCATAATATGGGCCCCTCGCTGGGGTGAAGATAGACCCTTTTTCATTTGATATAGCCATGAAACTTTTTTTCTTTTTCTTTTTCTTTTTCTTTTTCTTTTTCTTTTTCTTTTTGATGGAAAGATGAATGACTTGTATTTCAGCCGTAGGTTAGGCACTGGGTCTTTTTCTTCTTTAGGTAAAGGCCTCGTTAGACCCTCCTTGGAAAATCCTCAGGAATTAGGATGAAGTCCTTGGAAAATTTCCGGTTTTCGGCGTAGTCGTTACACCGCGTCCTAATTCAATGGGTTTCAAGGAAAACCCTTGGAGGTCTCCAGCGGCCAATTTCATACGCATACACGCGGCCGCGGGGGTGGATGTCCGTCATCGTGCTGGGATGTCCGTGCGTCCTCGGGCGTGGTCCAGTGGCGGGGAGGCCTACCGGGCTGACGAAGAAAAAGGGCGCCAACATCCCCGTTCCAATTTCAAATTTTGAACCCTCCGTTGTGACACATCCATGCGTGTGGCGTCCTGGCGGCTGGACTGGAGACTGGGGTGAAACTTGGGGGCCCATCGGGTACTGGAGGCCGGCGATGTCCGCCCAATGGACCACGGACGGCCTGTGCACCAATGTCGATTCCAAATTTTCCTGTCGGCACTCCCTCCAGAACACTCCGTCAATCGCGGCTCCTTGAACCCAAGGAACCTCACGAGGACCCCTTGAATCCAAGGACGTCTCTCGGGAGCGTTTTCACATTTATTCAAGGAATTTGGTGAATAAGGACGCGGTGTAATGACGCCGATTTCCTAAAAATCGGATTTCCAAGGATGGTCTAATGAGGCCCTAAATGATAGTTATGAAACAATTAAGGAAGCTGGTGGGAAACCAAATTGGGAAAAAATACACGCATTGTTTTTTTTTTCTTTTCTTGTTGGGGTAAATGAAACAAATAAGGAAAGCTGGTGGGAAGCCAAATCAGGAAAAACTTTCTTTTCTTGTTGGGGTAAATGAAACAAATAAGGAAAGCTGGTGGGAAGCCAAATCAGGAAAAACAACACGCACGCGGGCCGATCACGGGCCATTCAGCCCTGGAATACTGTTGGCTTTTGAAGTCACCTCTCCCATTCATTTACAATTTGATACGCCTTGCTGGAGGCTGATGACAGAAGAGCAACGCCAGTGAGCAGGACTGGTCGGTGCACTGAACCTACCTACGATTTTGTCCTTTTTTTTTTTTTTTGCAAAGAAGAGTTTTTATTATACAAAGTGGCATGGCACCCGCGCAAGGACGATTCTCATAAATTGAGAAATGGTCCAAATTTAAACTGCAATCCTATCACATGCCCAGAGGCCAGCTCAACAGTGTGACAGTCTTTTTACCGCTTTCATTCGAAAGAAATGTCGAAAATGAATTCAAAATGCAGCACTCTACGTTTTGTGTGTGTGTGTGTGTGTGTGTGTGTGTGTGTGTGTGTGTGTGTG